GCCATTTAGCACACACTTCCTTGATAAGTGCAATGGGCACATTATCCCTTCCTTCTCTTCCACTGAAGATAGCTCCTCTGCTGCAATCTGTTGCTGTGGAGGAGCAACAGAAGGTCTATAAGTTCTTCTGTGGGGAATTCAGTTCTATGCTCCTCCATCAACTCCACATCATCTTCAGTCACCTCCAGGCCCAAGATCTTCCCCAGGGACACAATATTCTCTGCCAGCTCTGGCTCATCTTCGAGGCTTTCAAAATTCCTGGCCGCCACAAAGTCAGGCCAGAATTTTTTCCATGATGACTGCATGGTCCTGCATGGTCCAGGCTTTGTCTATAAACCTCAAGCAGGTGAGGATACTGAAATGGTCCTTCTTTGGACCCATGATGGCTTATCTCACAATAAAAGAACTGCATCAAAACTTTGTGGGAAACTGCAGATGTGACTATACACCACAGATCACAACATGTCGATCATCAAAACATCAATATGGCTTTTCTTCTTGATGAATTTTCATATGCTTCACCAAAGTCGATTTGCAGGAGAATGCTTTTAAACACCTAGAGCACCGAAATGGTTTTTCTCCTGTATGAACTCTAAAATGTTGTACTAAAGTTGATTTTTCTTTAAATTTTTTTTGACACTCAGAACACTGATATGGTTTTTCCCCCGTATGAAATCTGATATGTCTTACAAGATCAGATTTTTGTGCAAATTTAGTTAGACATTCTGAACACTGATAAGGTTTCTCTCCTGAATGAATTCTCATATGTGTAATTAAATTTGATTTCAGTGCAAAACTTTTTTGACACTCGGAGCACTGATAAGGTCTTTCACCTCTATGAACCCTCAAATGCTTTGCAAGATCAGATTTTTGAGCAAATTTTTGTAAACACTCTGAACAGTCAAATGGTTTCTCTCCTGAATGCACTCTCATGTGTACTGTTAAATTTGATTTGAAAGAAAAGTGTTTTAAACATTCCAAACATTGATATGGTTTCTCTCCAGAATGAACCCTCATATGATCCTCAACTTGTGACTTGTGTTTAAAATCCTTTAAGCATTCTGAACACTGATAAGGTTTCTCTCCTGTATGAATTCTCGTATGCTTTACTAATGCAATTTTTTGTGTAAAAGATTTAGGACATTCAGTGCAATGATATAATTTCCTCCTGTATGAACTTTCATATGTCTCTGCAGATTAGCTTTTTGTGAAAAGTTTTTTAGACACTGAGAACACTGGTATGGCTTCTCTCCTGTATGAACCCTCTCATGTATTACTAAACAAGATTTCTGTGAAAATCTTTTCAAACACTTCAAACACCGAAATGGTTTCACTCCTGCATGCCATGCCATATGTTTTGCTAGAGTATATTTGTGAGAATATTTCTTTTGGCATAGTAAACAATGATACGGTTTATCTTCCAAGTGAGCTCTCATGTTTCTGGCTTGATTTACTTTTGCGGAAGTCATTTAGACCCCTTTATTATTGCCAATAACAAGGTGCAGCTTCTGCTCACGCCAGACTGTTGAAAAGAGAGACGGGACCGCTCGGACAAGGAGCGGTTCGTTTCGAAGGTATCAGCCAACCTGGCCGCCTCCAATGCAGTGGTTAAGTCACGATCCTGCAGAAAGACACGAACCTCTGGTCCCACAGACTCCAGCAGGTTATCAATCAGAATAAGCTGCACCAGCTCCTCAAAGTTAGAGACACCACTCGCTTTATACCAGCTGGTAAAAGCTTTGGTTTGCTGTCTCACAAAGTCCACCAGGGATTGACCAAGCTGCCGCCTGTTCAATTTGAAGGTCTTACGATATTTAGCTGGGATACATGTATATGCTCCCAACACTGTGGTCTTCACTACTTGATAATCAGAGAATTCAGCGTCAGTTAATACCGACGTAAATTCCTGTGCCTTACCCAATAATGCTGTATGAACCAACGCTGCCCAGTGCTGTTCCGGCCACCTCAAGGCTCGAGCCTGATTTTCGAAGCTTTCGAAAAATTGCTCTGGTTCGGCCTCATTGAAGCGGGGAACAAGCTGTATGCTTTTTGTAAACTGAAATCGTTTACAGAATGCGAAAACTGCCTCCTTTCTCTTTCCCTATCAAATTCTTCCCTTGCGAATGCTCTCTGTTCCCTAGTTTGCTCAAGATTGATTTTTGCCAGCTGAAGTGCCAACGACGCTGATTCACCCTGAGACAACCCATGTGCACTATACTGACCATTTTGCTCCGTAGGTGTATCATCTTCCTCCTGCGAGAACATAGTAGTTTTTGCCCTAGCTCCCGTAGAGGGAGGAGTCTGATGTGCCATCTCTTCTTCAATAAGTATGTCAGCAATAAGTGAACGCAGTTGCGCAGCTGTAAGAGTGCGTTTATAGGGAATGCCAATGGAACGAGCAATTTGCCAACAACGCTGTAGGGACAATTTAGGTAGGTTATGCAAAGTATATGCCGACACCAGGCGTCTGATCGTCTAGGTGGCATAAGTTTTTCGCTATGCACAGTACGAAAAACCCCAACGTAAAAACGTTAATTTGCAGAACACGCTTAGCTAAGTCTTTTCATTGTTGCACGTTTCGAAAAAGATGCGACGAGCGAAACTTTTGCTAGATAAAAAAAGTCGGATTCGGTTCCTTTGATTTGGTTTCAGGGAAGCCAATTTTACTCTACGTGAAGCTAACTCTTACTGAAGCCAACTTAACTCTTACTGAGCCAAACTATAAACTCTTACTGACTGCCAACTTAACTCATGAAGCCAACTTAACTCTTACTGAAGCCAACTTAATCTTACTGAAGCCAATTAACTCTTAATGAACGCCAAAACTTAACTCTTACTGAAGACAAACTTAACTCTTACTGAGCCAACTTAACTCTTACTGAAACAACTTAACTCTTACTGAAGCAACTTAACTCTTACTGAAGCCAATTAAACCTTACTGAAAACCAACTTAACTCTTATGAAGCCAATTAACTCTTACTGAAGCCAACTTAATCTTACTGAAGCCAACTTAACTCTTACTGGAAGCCAAACTTATCTTACTTGAAGCCAAACTTAAATCTTACCTGAAAAGCCAACTTAACTCTTACTGAAGCCAACTAAAAACTCTTATGAAGCCAACTTAACTCTACTGAAACCAACTTAACTCTTTACTGGAAGCCAAAATTAACTCTTACTGAAGCCAACCTTAACTCTTACCGAAAGCCAACTTAACTCTTACTGAAGCAACTTAACTCTTACGTAAACCAACTTAACTTCTTACTTACCAACTTAACTCTTAATTAAACCAACTTAACTCTTACTGAAGCCAAACTTAAGCTCTTACTTAAACCATTAACTCTTACTTAAACCAACTTAACTCTTACTTAAAACCAACTTAACTTTATGAAAGGCCAACTTCTTAACCTCTTACTTAAACCAACTTAACTCTTACTTAAACCAAACTTAACTCTTACTTAAACCAACTTAAACTCTTACTTAAACCAACTTAACTCTTACTGAAAACCAACTTACTCTTACTGAAGCCAACTTAACTCTTACTGAAGACAACTTAACTCTTAATGAAGCCAAAAATTAACTCTTACTGAAGCCAATTAACTCTTATGAAGCAACTTAACTCTTACTGAAACAAACTTACACTCATTACTGAAGCCACCTAACTCTTATGAAGCCAACTTAACTCTTACTGAAACCAATTACCTTACTGAAGCCAACTTAACTCTTACTGAAGCCAAACTTAAAACTCTTACTGAGCCAACGTAACTCTTACTGAAGCCAACTTAACTCTTATGAAGCCAAACTTAACTCTACCTGAAGCCAACTTAACTCTTATGAAGCCAACTTAACTCTTACTGAAAAGCCAACTTAACTCTTACGAAACCAACTTAACTCTTACTGCAAGCCAACTTAACTCTTACTGAAGCCAACTTAATCTTACTTGAAGCAAAACCTTAACTCTTACTGGAAGCCAACTTAACTCTTACTTTAAACCAACTAAACTCTTACTTAAACCAACTTAAATCTACTATAAACCAAACTTAACTCTTACTGAAAGCCAACTTAACTCTTACTAAACCAACTTAAACTCTTACTTAAACCAACTTCTAACTCTTACTTAAACAACCTTAACTCTTACTTAAACCAACTTAAACTCTTACTGAAGACCAACTTAACTCTCACTGTTGCCAACCCTAACTCTTACTGAAGGCAAACTTTTTACTGAAGCCAGATTAACTCTTACTGTAGTCTCAAGTTAACAATGTCTTGGTATAAGGTGGGCTCATTTTAAAAAACAAGTTAGGGCAACTCTGGGAGACACAGGAAGGAAGCAACAACACAGTGGCGGTGCAATAACAACAGCAGCAACAACAACAGTGGCGGGTTAGCAATAACAACAGCAGCAGCAAACAACAACAGCGGCGGGTCAGCAATAACAGCGCAGCAGCAACAACAACGTGGCGGTAGCAATAACAACGCAAGCAGCAACAACAAAACAGCGGCGGTAGCAATACAGCAGCAGCAGCAACAACAACAGTGGCCGGTAGCAATAAACACACAGCAGCAGCAGCAACACAACAGTGTGCGGGGGTAGCAATAAACAAAACAGCAGCAGCAGCAAACAACAACAACGGCGGTAGCAATAGCAACAGCAGCAGCAACATACAACAGCGGCGTAGGGTAGCAATAACAACAGCAGCAACAAACAAGCGGCGGTAGCAATAACAGCAGCAGCAGCAACAACAAACAACAGTGGCGGTTAGAATAACAACAGCAGCAGCATCAACAACAACAACAGCGGCGGTTTAGACAATAACTGGCAGCAGCAAAAAAGCAACAGTGGCGGTAGCAATAAACATCAGAGCTGCAGCAACAACAACAAACAGCGGCACGGTTAGCAATAACAGCAGCAGGCAGCAACAACAACAAACAACAGTGGCGGGTAGCAATAAACAACAGCAGCAGCAGCAGCAACAACAACAGTGGCGGTTAGCAAATAAAACAACAGCAGCACAACAACAACAACAGTGGCTGTAGCATAACAACGCAGCAGCAACAAACAACAACGGCTGGGGTAGCAATAACAACAGCAGCAGAGGCACAAACAGCGGCGGTAGCAATAAAAACAGCAGCAGCAACCAACAACAACAGTGGCGGTATCAATACAACAGCAGCAGCAAACAACAACAGTGGCGGTAGCCATAACAAACAGCAAGCAGCAAGCATCAAACAACAACGGCGGTAGCAATAAAACAGCAGCAACAACAACAACAGTGGCGGGTAGCAATAACAACAGCAGCAGCAGAGCAAAAACACAAGGCTGTAGCAATCAACAACAGCAGCAGCAACAACAACAGTGGCGGTTAGCAATAACAGTAGGAGGTATTGTAGTGATGGTGGAGGTGTGGTAGTAGTGATGGAGGAGGTGGAATAGTGATTGGAAGGTGTTGTAGTGATTGTAGGAGGGTGTAGTAGTGATGGAGGAGGTTGGAAAGCTAGTTATGGAGGGATGTGAAGTAAGTAGTGATGGAGGAGGTGTAGTAGTGATTGGAGAAGGTGAAGTAGTTATGGAGGAGTGTTGTAGTAGTGATCGGAGGGAGGTGTAGTAGTGTTGGAGGAGGTGTAGTAGTGATGGAAGGAGGTGTAGTAGTGATGGAAGTGTAGTAGTGATGGAGGAGGTTGATAGTAGTGGATGGAGTTGTAGCTAGTGATGAAGGAGGGTTGTAGTAGTGATGGTAGGTGTTAGACAATAGTGATGGAGGAGGTTGTAGTTAGTGTTGGAGGTTGTAGTAGTGATGGTGGACGGTGTAGCAGATGATGGTGTGTAGTAGTGATGGAGGTGTGTAGTGTGGAGGAGGTGAGTATAATGGAGGAGATGTTAGTAGTGATGGAGGTGTAGTTAGTGATGAAGGAGGTGTTTGTAGTGTTGGTGGAGGTGTAGTAGTGATGGGAGGCTTGTAGTAATGAGGGAGGAGGTGTAGTCGTGATGAAGGGAGGTGTGTAGTGATGGAGTGTAATAGTGATTGAGGATGTGTAAGTAGTGATGGAGGAGGTGTTAGTAGTGATGGAGGTGTAGTAGTGATGAAGGAGGTGTAGTAGTGATGGAGTGTGTAGTAGTGATGGGGGAAGGTTTTTTTTTGAAGTAGTGATGGAGGAAGTGTAGTAGTGATGGAGGAGGGGTAGTAGTGATGGAGAAGAGAAGTAGTAATGGAGGAGGTGTATAAGTAGTTGATGGAGGAGGTGTAGTCAGTGATGGAGGAGGTGTTAGTAGAGGGAGAGGTGGAAGTTGTAGTAATGGGAGAGTTGAGGTTTTTTGCTAGTTAGTGATGGAGGAGGATGTAGTAGTTGATGGAGGTAGTGTGGGTAGTGGATGGAGGGAGGTGTAGTGATGGAGGAGGTGTAGTAGTGATGGAGGTGTAGTAGTGATGGACGAGGTGTTGTAGTGATGGAGGGGTTGTTGTAGTAGTGATGGAGAAGGTGAAGTAGTTATGGTGGGGTGTAGAAGTGATGGAGGAGGTTGTTGGATGTAGTAGTGATGGAGGAGTGTGAATGAAGTAGTTATGGAGGATGGTGTAGTTAGTGATGGAGGGTGTGGTAGTGATGGAGGAAGGTGTAGGAGTGATGGAGGAGGTGTAGTAGTGATGGAGGTGTTTGTAGTGATGGAGGAGGTTTGTAGTAGTAATGGGTGGTGATATGAAGTAGTTATGGTGGAGGGGTTGTAGTAGTGATGGTGGAGGTTGTAGTTGTGATTAAGGAGGTTGTAGTAGTGTTGGAGGAGGTGTAGTTGTTGTGTGATGGAGGTGTAGTAGGGTGGGAGGAGGGGTAAGTAGTGATGGAGGAGGTGAAAGTTAGTTATGGAGGTGGTGTAGTAGTGTTGGATGATTGGTGTAGTAGTGTGGAGAAGGTGTAGACGTGATGGAGGAGGTTTGTAGTGAGTGTGGAGGAGGTGTTTCGTTGTAGTGATGGAGAAGGTGAAGTAGTTATGGAGGAGTGTAGTAGGATGGAGGAGGTTGTGTAGTGTTACAGGAGGTGTAGTAGGATGGAGGAGGCTTGGTTGTAGTGCATGGAGATATGTGTAGTACGATGGAGGAGGTGTTGTAGTGATTGGAGGAGGCTGAAGTAGTTTGGAGGAGGTTGTAGTAGTGATGGAGGAGGTGCGGTAGTGATGGAGGAGGTGTAGAGTTAGTGAGTGGAGGGGGTGTCAGTAGTGATGGAGGTGTAGAGTGATGGAGGAGGTGTAGTAAGTAATGGAGGAGGTGAAGTTAGTTATGGAGGATGTGAATTAGTGATGGAGGAGGAGTAGTTATGATGGAGAAGGTGAAGTAGAGATGAAGTAGGTGTAGTAGGGATGGAGAAGGTGAAGTAGATTATGGAGGAGGGTAGTAGTGTTGGAGGAGGTTTGTAGTAGTGAGGAGGTGGTGTAGTAGTGATGGAGGAGGTGTGGTAAAATAGTTTTTGTTGGAGGAG